AAGGTGGGAATTGCTATTAGCAACTGAGGGGATCCTGATTGCTAAAGTTGCCCACCTGGAGTATTTCTATTGGGAGTGGCACAAAACAATGTTCTGGGAGGTTCCCATTCTCTCTCAGTTGCTTAAAGTTCTGATGCTATGACTGGCTAGTTTGGCCACTCTGCCAGGCTCAACAGGAGGCCTCCTAGAGGCAGAACTCTCTCTGACTGCTGGTTGAGGAAGACGTGCTGCTGAAAGAGACACGCACTACTGAAAGGGACACGTGCTGCTGAGAAAGAGACGCAAGACACACGTGTTGCTGAGTAAGACACCGAGTGACATGCACCGCTGGGGGAGAGACTGTGAGAGACTTGGCTGAGAGATGGTGGGCTGGGAGAGAGACTGAGCATTTTTCCTGTACTTGAATTGTAGTTTGGTGCTTCCCTAATAAATCTCATAATCTGTGAGTTCTGTGTGGCCACTGCAGCGAATTATCAAACCCAGGAGAGAGGTGGTGGGTGCTTTGGGAGGAACGGTTGAAAAAAGGGCTGGAAGGAGGTAGCATGTCTGGCCTGGCAGGAATAGGCCTTGGGTTACTGCTGGTAATCCTGTCTTCCTCTTGTAGGGTTAGAAGAGGTCGGAACATGTGGCCTCTTTGCCCTTTTTGCACAATATACCACAAAGTACAACTGCCCCGTAGGGTTTCCAAGGCTGTAAATCTTTATGGAAGCAGACTGCCACATCTTTCGCCTGCAGAGCAGCTGGTAGGTTCAAACTACCAACCTTTCAGTTAGCAGCCAAGTGCTTAACCACTGTATCAGCAGGGCTCCTTTCCACAAGTATAGGGGTTAAGATTCACAACATATTTCCAGAGGACACAATTCAATCCACAACACCTTCTGCAGAGAAGTTCTCCAGCAATGTTCCGATGCTATACAGCCTGGAAGGCTGTCAGTGAAACACACCAGACCCCAAACTGGCAACGGAGCCTGGACCTTGGGGCGCAGCTATGTTGCCATTATCATGCTTCCATCTGTTGGCTCTCTTTGGAATTTAAGGAATGGGGACAAGACATAGTGGTTTTAAGCATTCAGCTGCTAATTAAAAGGTCAGCAGTTCAAATCCACTAGCTGCTCCTCAGGGGAAAGATGAGCCAGTCTTCTTCTGTAAAAGATTTACAGCCTTGAAAATACAGCAGTTCTACTCTGTCCTTTTGGGTCACTATAAGCAGGAACTGAGTCAATGGCAGTGGGGTTGGTTTGGTTTTGGATGGCATAAACAGTGAACCTACTTGACTGGTAACCAAAAGGTTAGCATTTCAAGTCTACCCAAAGATTCCTTGGAAGAAAACCCTAGCAATCTACTTACAAAAGATCAGCCAGTAAAAACACTATGGAGCACTCTTCTACCCTAACACAGGGGCAACTGGTTTTTTTTGTGTGTTTTGTTTCTCACTGGTTTGGGTGATACAGATAATTAATGTGTCCAACTACTCACCAAAAGGCTGGATGTTCAAATCTACCCAGAGGTGCCTAAGAAGAAAGGCCTAGAGCTCTATTTATGAAAAATCAGCCAATAAAAACCCCATAAAGGACAGTTCTACTCTGAACTACATGGGGTCACCAGGAGTCAAAATCAACTCAAGGGCAACTAGTTTTGGTTTCTTTTTTAAGCCATGCACCCAGACTACGGCCACTAACAGAATAGAATACAAAACATGCCCTACCGTAAAGGTACTTGGTTTCCAGCTTATTCTCTGCTGTCCTCCTCCAAGGCAACAAGTCATCACTGCACCCGTTTGGCATTCCATTGTACCCGATCCCAACGATCTTGTTTTCTGCATTCACAATGCAGGCCCCAACCTACAGAAAAACCCAAAGGCTTGCTGACTCTATGTAGCTCATCTGCCACTGGAGAGGCAGTGAATAAAACCAGGGGCTCCAGAGTTCCAAAATGGACATACATCTTTTAGAGGTACTATCAGTGCTGCCTCCTTCTCCATTTTCTGTGGCATCCTGTCCTGGAGGGCTCACAAGAGATATTTAACAATGCAAAAATTTACTCCCTCAGAGGAAAACGTAAGCTCGTAGGAACACAGCACAAAAGACCGTATACTCGGTGTTTTTAAATTGATAGATGCCCACTGAGTCTATCCTTTTCCTAACCTGCTCGTTTATGGGCATTTTTGTATCTATGAGTATCCAAATACTTTCCTGTAAAACTCACTTACTTGGGAATTTGGATCTTTGCTTCTCTGTGCTGATAAGAAAGCCACTGCCATGAAATACTCAGGCCATTCCAAATAGTCATCGCGTTTTTTACAGGGAACTTCACTCATACTGGGTCTGGAAGAAAAACAACAAAACTGCAGTTGAAAAATGCATTTTGGTAAATCCACTTTCCAATTCAACTCAATTACCTCTAAATCTGGATCTCTAAACTCAGAAACTTCAGCTATTGTTTATCAGTCATAAATCATAGAACACAGATCCCAGAGTTACCTCAGTTTCTGGTC